AATCCCTAAAAAAGGCGACCGCTCAGACTCGTTCAACTACCGGCCTATAGCCATCACCTCCTTGTTCTCCAAAACAATGTAGTCCATTGTAAATTGCCAGCTCATGAGGTACCTTGAGGATCACCAGCTGATTAGTGACCGCTAATACGGTTTTCGCCGTGGTCGATCAGCTGGTGATCTTCTGGTCTACCTAACTCATAGCTGGGCGGAAGCAGTAGAGTCCAAGGAGGAGGCATTGGCCGTTAGTTTGGACATTGCGAAGGCTTTCGATCGGGTTTGGCACAAAGCGCTTCTTTCGAAGCTCCCTTCCTATGGGCTTCCCGAGAATTTGTGCAATTGGATCACCAGCTTTCTTGCAGATCGGAGCATCAAGGTCGTTGTAGACGGTGCAAGCTCCGACTTCAAGCCTATTAATGCTGGTGTTCCACAAGGCTGCGTGCTATCGCCAACGCTGTTTCTTCTGCATATCAATGATATGTTGCAAACCCTTAACATTTATTGCTATGCAGATGACAGTACTGGTGATGCTCTTTACACCGGCCGTCCTAATATTTCTCGGGGAAAGGTCTCCGAGTACTGGGACAAACTTGTGTCTGAAGTCGAGTCTTTGCTGAACAGAGTCTCAGATTGGGGGCTACATCTAGTCCAGTTTAACCCCCAGAAGACACAAGTTTGCGCGTTAACCGCTAAAAAGAACCCCTTTGTCGTATCTCCTCAGTTTTAAGGCACTCCCCTTGTTGCCTCAGCCAGTATTGTAATCCTCGGCGTGGACATATCGAGTGACGTGCAGTTTCGTGGTCACTTGAAAGAGAAGGCCAAATTGGCCTCTAAAAAGCTTGGCGTGCTCAGCAGAGCGGGACAGTATTTCATGCCGGCACACCGCCTGCAATACTAATACTACTACGCACATGGAATACTGTTACCATCTCTGGGCTGGGGCTCCCCAGTACCAGCTCCTTCCACTTGACCGCATCCAGCGCAGAGCGGCTCCAATCGTCGACGACCGAGTGCTTTCCGATCGGCTCGATTCACTGGCGCTGCGAAGAGATGTTGCATCTCTTTGCATTTTCTTTCGCATATATCATGGGGAGTGCTTCCCCTCTTATATAAAAAAAATCTGTAGCCTTCTTCGTTTGAAGTTGGTGCAGGTGCCATGGACTGCAACAGCCACTTACCATCAGGTCGACTGAAAGTTCGTCTGTCACATAAGTTCTGTAAAATAGTAAGTGGTCACCGTGGCCCATAGACATCTATATCTATTCTCGATTACAAATCAAAATGCAGACGCGTTGTCAGTCCTGAGGACTAAGATGAAATGCCTCGTTTCAAGTAAAATGGATCTCTGGTTCTCTACACTCACCATATGAAACACAGCAGCGTTAAGTTACTATTTCGCGATGGTATTTTGTTTCCATCTTATAACCCAGAGGTGACAACGCATCTGCGTTTTAATTCTTAATCGAGGATAAATGTAAATTTCTATTGGACACAGCAACCACTTACCATCAGGTGGACCGTGTGTTCGTTTGTCGCTCTTGTTCTATAAAAAATGTTAATCATTTTGAAAAGATAAATGCCGTGGCAGCTCAGGGGCTAAGCGCTTGCTGTAAATCTCGCAGAACGCGAGAAAACCCGGGTTCCCGCCGGCAGAAATGTTAATGCAATTTTATTTAAAACACAATTGTTAATTGCAATTTTATGTACTAATTTACCACGTGTTCGGCGGTGAAGGAAAACATCGTGAGGAAAATGGTATGTCTAAGAAATAAGTAAAAAATATTTCGAATTTATGTGAAGTTCCCCAATACGTATTGAGATAGCGCGACAGACATTTGCTTGCCCTAAAGCCTTACAGAAATGCGAGGAGGCCTGTGTCCAGCTTTGAATTTATATAGGCTGTAACTATTTCGATAAGATACGCATTTGATATGATTCCCAGGGAGTCGATGGTTACAGGTGGCTCAAGCGCGTGCTTTGTGACATTCCTTGGGAGCATGTTCAGCAGTTGACTTGTGGTGAGCTATAATGTGATGATAATTTCAAAAAATATATAGTTCTAAAATTAGCAGGAAAAAAATGGTTAGTTTTAAGCTTAAAAATTACGGTCTGAGAGCTTTTCGATATATTACAATTAAGCATCTGAGCGGCCGAGCTTTATTTTGGCGTTAAAATAGAAATAAAATTTTCTCAGAGATGACACTTACCTAGATAAATTTTGAAAGTAAAATATTATCTTTTCTTTACAAATTTTGCTTTACGTACCCTTATTTATATTTTATTATTTTATTTATTTACAAAAGATTTAAAATAGGTTTTATTCTATATCGATAAAATAATAGTTTTCCGTTGGAAAACATTTTTATAAACATTGATCTCAATGTTTTAAACCATGAATAACGCTATAAAAATGTTCGTAACTCTGCAAACAAAACATCTTATTCACCTATCCATCTATTACCTCCTAGATATAAATGGCCACTGCTGAACATAAGCCTCCATAGATTGTATCATAGGGGGGATTTTGAACTTGTGTTTTTAAGATACTAAAAAATAAAAATATAAATTTCTTCGCAACCTTCCGCTAAACAAATACAATTATGTGTCTAACCTGGATTGAAGAGCACCTCCCGCCCTCCCTCAATTGCATGCACTAACTCCGTCACCACTAGTCCCAACACCACTAGTCCCAGCACCACTACTCCCAGTACCACTACTCCCAACACCACTATTCTAGGTAAGACACACCATCGACGATAATACGACACGTGTTTCGCCGATTTCGTCGTATTATCGTCGATGGTGTGTCTTACCTGGAATAGTGGTGTTGGGAGTAGTGGTGCTGGGAGTAGTGGTGCTGGGACTAGTGCTGACGGAGTGAGTGCATGCAATTGAGGGAGGGCGGAAGGTGCTCTTCAATCCAGGTAAGACACATCACTGTATTTGTTTAGCGGTAGGTTGCAAAGAAATTTATATTTTTATTTTTTATTATAATGGATTTCCGCAAAGTAACGCCTGATTCTATCAATTTTTAAGATACATCGGCCATTTAATTTTCAATTTCCCTCTGTCACCCCCTACTACACCTACTATATGGGGTAGTATATATTTTTACACCACCACTACACGTTTAGGTAAAACAATATCTTATTGGTAACCATGTGATTTGTCCCAAGTTGCAAATAAAGTGAGCAGCACAAACGTTATTGTTTTTAAATTCATTACAAATTAATCAAAAATAAAATTAAACCAGTTTCAATTCCGTGCATTCAAATTGTCACTGCATTTTGATTGCAAGCGAGCGCGTCCATTTTCTGTCGACTCACATCGATGCATAATTTATATTTCCATCTGTTGATTTAAATAAACTTTTAAAAATTAAGTTTATTCGTGGTAGAGCTAAACTGTAGCTATATTGTGATTATTTCACTAATGAATCGGCTCGACCAGGGAAGAATCACGGTTGCACAGAATTTCAGCGTTAAATAGCAGCTCAGTGCTACTGTGTTTTGTATGGTAAGTGTAGGAACCGAAGTGTCTTTTTATTGAAAACCAGAAAATCCATCTTAGTCCTCATGAGTGACAACGCATCTGTATTTTCATTCTTAATTTATCGATAGATATAAATGTCTAAGTGTAACAGCATTCACCAAACCATCAGGTGGACGTTTTGCTTGATTTTAAACACTATTCTATAAAAAAGTAAGTCGTAACTGCCGTAATTCATAGTCTAACTGATATTGGTAACAGATGGTTAATAGGGCCGTAAGGGGATAACGCGAACTACTCTTTAAATGTAAACCTATGTTAGAAACGACTTGATGACGTCAAAGGCAATATATGCCATAGCGACCGCCAATACGCCTGACAAGCTTGGCGGATACGGCAAATTATTCCTACAGTGCCGGAGGCACATTTCCAGAAGTAAATTAGTACATGTTCATTGTGATACATTTAAAATATTTAAGGAAAGGTAAACGTGCCTTATAAGTGACTTATATATTGTGAAAGTAGTTATAAGTGTGTAGTATAGTGCCAAAATCGATAGCAATCGACAGTTTTACTTTCGATAAGCTATGACAGTAACGGAGAATGTTTAGACTTTTAGTCCGATTGCAACCTGAGTGCCTTCAAGCCAAAAGTGAATTGGATTTTTATTGAACTAAGGCAGTTAGCAGTTTACTGTCAAGGACTTCATTTCCGCTTACCATCTAATGGGATTTTATTAAAGTACTAGCTTGATATTAGTACAAGAAAAGAGACCTGGTTTAATTTTTATATTAAAAAAAACTGTAAAACGGTCCGGTATCACCTGCAGCTAATTGTTTAAAAATAATATCACAAATTAATGTTTAAAAATTTATTTAGCTCTAAATAAATATTTACAAAAATACTTGTGTATTTTTATTTATATAAAATTTTTCTTTAATATTTTGTTCTTTGTCAGTTTATTGACTAACCTATACCATTCACAACTATAAAGAATTATATCCACCAAAATCTATGTTTACGTAATCAAGTATATAATCTCAGTTGCAAACCTTTTTACATTACGATATATTTAAAAAAATTGTCACCAGACAGTTTTAGTAAAAATAATAATCGATATTCAAGATACGTAAAATTTATATGTAATTGAGTAATAACTTAAATTCCCATTCAATTATTTCCACTTTGTATTTTTGTATTTTATTAAATCTGTTCCAACAATTTTCTACCACAGGATTGCAATACTTGTTTTATACAATTAAAAGGTGGTTAAGATTAAAACCTTAAATGAAACTATTACAATAACATAAAATTAATACTTAAAGGTTCCCCTTTTTGCATTCATAATATCAACGTCAAATTACACTTATGTACATTGCACATCTGAGTCAATTTTCCAGGTTCTCGTGTTCAAAATAAAGCCAACATAACTAGCTTTTAAAAAATACAATCCATTTTCCATTCAATTGTGACCTTAACTTTCAATATAAACTCCTGAACAATAAAGTGACTAATTAAAACTCGTATTCCGATACGTATAAGTACAATTTTGCAACGGCAATCCCGCCGAATTGATCTCTGCTGTATAGCTCCATGGATAGTTCAAGTTCTATGCTTTGTGGACCTTCAAGTGACCTCACTAGAGACACGATTCCTTGGTTCGCGTTTTGCACCAGCCTGTAATCAAGCAATATACGTAAAAAACTCAGAATAAATAAAAGTATCAAAAAATCATTTTTGTGATTGGAAAATCACGTCTCCTTTTTTTCACTAATATTTATTTTAAATTATCAACTGTGTACTTTTTATTATAGTTATTACATTAAAATAAATATTATTGAAGCTAGTATACTTGTCTATCTAAATCTGAAAAATGGAGAAGACATTTCACCAATTTTTTTTATAGGATAGGGTGACAAACTAGCACACAGTCCACCCGTTGGTAAGTGGTTGCTGCGGCCCATAGACATCTACATTTGGGACAAATATCACAAATGTATCAATCAACAATCCATTAAGTTCAACTAAATAATGTAGTATATGCGTTACCACTTGTGAGATTAAGTTCCTTTCATTGGAATTATTTTTTTCGAAAAAGTTTGACAAACCAGCACTCTATCCACCTGGTGGGAAATGGACGCTGTGGCCCATAGACACCTGGATATTGCAAATGTAGCCTTCCTTGTTTGAAATTAGTTGTGTTTTCTGTCTAGGAGACTACCTGCGTAGGGTACCTACTCTTTTATATATTACTGCCTTCAAATAGCAGTGCTTACACTGCTGCATTGCGGTCTAAAGGCATACAGAGCTAGTAGTATCCGTTGTTCATACTACCTTAGTTCTCAGAGGTGAAAACGCATTTTGTCCTGCTGCACGTAACCATGGACTACAGTAGACGTTCACTTTTAGGTGTACTAGTAGATTCGCTTGTCACTTGTTTTATAAAAAGGCACCTATTATCTATTATATTATCTATTATATTATATTGTTATGAAATGTATACATTCTTCCAGCATTTCCATCCAAAACACCTAGTTTAAAAGAGTTGTTTTACTTACAGAAACGCGTTGATATCAGCTTTCTCTTTCACAGTGGGCGGAGCGTTGACCTCGATCAGTCTCAACTCAAACCTCATCTTAGCGTAAGGCCAGGCTGGACCACGCATTGTGAACAGGTCAACCTTTAATTTAAAAAGAGCATTTTCGAGATTAACTACCAGGATTACATTATCAGGTCCTACACTTTCTCTTCGGTCTACCAACTCAAAGTTTGATTGGTTTCTTGCACATGGTATACACGTATTTAGAACATATTTGTACAAGGCTTCTTTCGTCGTTACTGGTACGTAGAGTAGGAATTGTTTTAATTGGATGTTTGAGTGGTTTCAGTACTCTATGACTCCTCAAGGCAGAAAAAAACTCTTCAAGGCAGAAGTCAGACCACACTGTCCCAATGTCCCAAAACTTAATGGCGGATTTCTCATATTTTCCGAATATTTTGAATTTATCAGATATTAAATTTCCCTTTAACCGTGTAGTGATGGTGTAAGAATATCCACCACCCCATATTGCATTAAATTTCCCTTTAACCGTGTAGTGACAGTGTAAGAATATCCACCACCCCATATTGCATTAAATTTCCCTTTAACCGTGTAGTGACGGTGTAAGAATATCCACCACCCCATATTGCATTAAATTTCCCTTTAACCGTGTAGTGATGGTGTAAGAATATCCACCACCCCATATTGCATTAAATTTCCCTCTTTAACCGTGTAGTGACGGTGTAAGAATATCCACCACCCCATATTGCATTAAATTTCCCTTTAACCGTGTAGTGATGGTGTAAGAATATCCACCACCCCATATTGCATTAAATTTCCCTTTAACCGTGTAGTGACAGTGTAAGAATATCCACCACCCCATATTGCATTAAATTTCCCTTTAACCGTGTAGTGATGGTGTAAGAATATCCACCACCCCATATTGCATTAAATTTCCCTTTAACCGTGTAGTGACGGTGTAAGAATATCCACCACCCCATATTGCATTAAATTTCCCTTTAACCGTGTAGTGACAGTGTAAGAATATCCACCACCCCATATTGCATTAAATTTCCCTTTAACCGTGTAGTGATGGTGTAAGAATATCCACCACCCCATATTGCATTAAATTTCCCTTTAACCGTGTAGTGACGGTGTAAGAATATCCACCACCCCATATTGCATTAAATTTCCCTTTAACCGTGTAGTGATGGTGAAAGAATATCCACCACCCCATATTGCATTAAATTTCCCTTTAACCGTATAGTGATGGTGAAAGAATATCCACCACCCCATATTGCATTAAATTTCCCTTTAACCGTGTAGTGACGGTGTAAGAATATCCACCACCCCATATTGCATTAAATTTCCCTTTAACCGTGTAGTGACGGTGTAAGAATATCCACCACCCCATATTGCATTAAATTTCCTCTTAACCGTGTAGTGACGGTGTAAGAATATCCACCACCCCATATTGCATTAAATTTCCCTTTAACCGTGTAGTGACGGTGTAAGAACATCCACCACCCCATATTGCATTGAATTTCCCTTTAACCGTATAGTGATGGTGTAAGAATATCCACCACCCCATATTGTCCCGTGGGTTTTGTAAGAGGCGACATAGGAAAATTAAAACAAAATACGGGAAAGAGCGTATCGGCATAGCCTGTAACCGCCTGCCAGGTGTGGTAACTATGGCAAAATCCTTTCTATGAGGCAATCCTTGGGTGATGCATATTGTTGCGAGCTTGGGGTTCGAGACAGTAAAAAAAAACTACCGATATTAATTCGATTTAATAAATTATTAATTGATTTTTTTTAATTATTATTATTATTATCAGCATTAACAATATTTATAGCTGGAATTTCTGCTGTTTTTGAAATTGATTTAAAAAAAATTATTGATAATAATTACTAATAAAAATTCTTAATAAAATTATACTTTAAGACAATTAGGTTTAATAATAAGAATTTTAAGAATAGGATTACCAGAGTTAGCTTTTTTTCATTTATCAACTCATGCCATATATATTTAAGGCTTTATTATTTATATGTGCTGGAGTAATTATACATTACAATAAATGATGATCAGGATACACGATTTATGGGGGACTTAGTTTATAAATTCCTATAACTTATTTATGTATAAATATTTCTAATTTAGCTTTATGTGGAATTCCTTTTTAGCTGGGGATTTTATTCTAAGGATTTAGTTTTGGATATAGTAAGAATGAGAAATTTAAATATATTTTTTTAATATTATTTTTCTAATGGTTTAACAATATTTTATACATATGTCAATTATATGACAATTTAATCACAGAACATTTATTACAACTTAAATCCACATTAATAACAAAACACAATTGTACTACTGAGCACTTTAGTTCGCAGTTGTATAGTTTCGAAGTATTCGCTTCTATCCCCAATCTCACACTTACCCGGGTCGCGGTCTATACCGACCTTATATAGGGCTTTAGATAATTGCAGAACCTTCTACTGTTGAAACATCTAGAATGTTCGATTACATACCGATCCCGACTGACTAGGTGCCAATAGTTCTAGAAAGTTCTTCCATGAAAATTTCTAGAAAGATTTTGACTCTCCTAGTTCTGCTACGCGATATTAGAAGGCGCTAGTGGTAACTAGTGTGGCCATGTACCAGGCATTAATTGTGGCGCGCAAAATATATTTAGCAGCGAACTTTTATAGGCTGTTATGGATTAATACCGCAGAAAACATGGTGAATAAGAACTCAAAATAACGATTAACCGTTCCTGTAGTCCCGACGGTTAAGAGACCCAAAACATTATGGGATTCCTATATCTAACAATTAGTGGTGCATACATTTTTACTTAGTTCTTGTATCATTACTGACCTTGGATGCTGGAATGTACAACTTGGAAACGAACGTGATAAAGTTATAGGAGTACGTGGAGGGCTGGTGTGCGCACTCCCAGTCCGACGGTTGGCAGACACTTTCGATCTTGGTACAGCGACTGAAATAAAGAAACTGTTACATAAACTCCTGATTTTGACATACAAGTACACGTAATACAGCCAAGTGCCTGGTAGTTTTAGGAGAGCTGTCCGTGGTGCAGCAGTTAAGCTATGAGTTGCGTATAGCCTACAAATAAATGCTTCGGGATGAATGTTTGTCCAAGTAAAATTTATATATGTAAACTGCCTCCAGTATACAAGCGAATATACTAGTGTGGTGGTAACGTGTTTTATAAACAAAAATAAACATTATGGTTGCAGCACGTGTGGCTTGGCTTGGGCGTTGAAGTACGTGGTAGAGCCGTGCTGCGGCTATATCACTGGTATAGTTGTAGCACTAATGCGTCAGTTTGACCGAGGAAGTACCACGCTCTCACAGAATACCAGCTCTGCAGCTTAACGATGCCGTGTTTCGTTTGGTGAGTGTAGAGAACCGGTAACCCTTTTTACATGAAACGAGGCATTCCATCTTAATCCTCAGGGTAACAACGCATCTGTATTTTGATTTGTTATCTAGGATATATAGGTGAAGTGTAGGGTGACCCCTCACTACATGGAGTGATGACCTGATAAGACATGCAGAAAGTCGATGGATGCAGGTGGCTCAGGACGGTGCTTTGTGGCATTCCCTGAGGGAGGCCTATGTTCAGCAGTGTACTTGTGAAGGGCTGTAATGATGATGATGATCGAGGATAGATGTAGATGTCTATGGGCCACAGCAACAACTTACCATCAAGTGGACTGTGTGCTCGTTTGCCACCTTTATGCTATATAAATGTACAATGGTCGCACAAAATACCAGCATGGAATAACAGCATAATGCTGTTGTATTTCGTATGATGACTGACGAGAACCAGAGACTTTTTATATTTTCATTCTTGATTGAGGTTTATAGATCACAGCATTTCGCAGTCAGTAGACCCCTGAGAACTAAGATGAATTGCCTCATATCCAATAAAAGTATTTCCGGTTCTCTAGACACACCATACGAAACACAGTAGCATTAAGCTGCTATTTTACGCTATATTCTGTGAGAGCGTAGTTTTTCATCGACCAAGCCAACAAATCACAATTACAACCATACTATACCTGGATCGTAGATGTTTTAAAAGAATATAGATATATAATTCAATATATACCCTTATGGTAATTATTTTAGTATATAAAATATTAGCTCTGTCCGTCTGTATGATGAAACGATCTCGGAAACTATGAATGTAACTAAACCTCGGCTTTCACGTGACAAGCTTAAAGCAGTGCGAGAGCTGATTTTGTCATGACACAAAAAATAGTGACAACCAGGTATAATACATGAAAATTGGATATTCTAAACAAATTGAACCCTCAACACGCCTCGATAGCTTCTACATGATATGATATGAGTATTGTAGTCACCTTTGGGATATTTCGGCTAAATATCAACTTCTCATTCTTGACTCAGGGGAACGCAGAGCCAAGAGGCTTATCTTCGACAATAATCTGGTGAGAACTAAGCTTCACAGCTTAGCTCACCGCCGTCAAGTAGCTTGTTTGTTGGTCTTCTACAAATATACTTTGGAGAGTGTGCCCATGAGTTTCATAAGCTCATATGGCCATCTTCATTTTCGAGGCGTACTTCAGTTTACCATACCCACCTGTTTAATATTCCGACTTGCGTATAAGTCATCTTTCACAACGCGCACAGCCTAGGAGTTAAATGCTATGCCGGGTTTTGTTTTTCCGAGTGCATATAATCTTAACCTATCCAAATTGCGTATTAACAGGCATCATGGGCAAACTCGGTCCACCGTAGACTTCATCTTTGATCTCGGACGAGATGGAGGTCAAGAGTTAACCAAGTTTACTAATTTAAAAAAAAATTAATTTTTAATTTTCATGAGCTATTTCGTTAACTTTCAAATTGATTACATCCACATCCCTATTTGGTGTTTTTTTTTAAAAAATTTTTTGTGTCACATGTTCTTCGGTGGTTGCGGCTGATTGCCAGTTAAAAGTGTAGAAATCTCTAACGGTAACTTTTGTGAGTTAGTTCCTTTCTTACTATGCATACTATCCCATATCTTCCCGTGGGTGTCATTAAAGGCGACAGAGGGAAACAAATTAGATGGGTAGCAGCGTCTTCCTAATAACCAATAAAAACAAAAAAGCAACGATTGCCAACCCGCTTGCCAAGCGTGAAAACTATAGCAATCATCCCCCTATGCGGCAATCTATGTGAGAGGCCTATGTTCAGCTGTGGACTTTAGTAGGCTATAACGGTAACGGTAATATGATGAGTGATGAGGAGTCTTACTGCTTGTTCTCCAGCCGGTAGCCCGGCGGGCAGGTGACGCGGTGGCAGCGGTACCCGCCGCGCGTGTTCACGCACACGTCGCTCGTGCCGCCGAATGCGCCGCTGTTAGCGCACGGCGCCTCTCCCGTCTCGCATTCGTCGATATCTGTTCGAAGTTTTAACATAAATTAATAGTATTTATAGATAACAAACGAGCACACAACCCACCTGATGGTAAGTGAATGCATCTACATATATCCTCTATTAAGAATCAAAATGCAGGTGCATTGCCACCCCTGATGACCAAGATAGAATGCCTCGTTTCTAATAAAACGGGTCTCCAGTTCTCTACACTCACTTCTGTGAGAGTGTGGTCCTTTCCGGGTCAAGCTAACCATACAACCATAAAATACCTGTAGCATCCCCGTAGCTCTACCAAGTTAAAAAAGTCTTCTTCCTCATCAAAAACAAAAACAGAAACTTTTTATTCAATTTTACAGTAATACTTATTGAAAGTCACTCTTAGGTTTAATTTATCACTGGTTTAGAAAAATCTCTGTCCTGGGTAGAATCAGTAAGAAACCCACCAGTTCATCATTATCATCAATCCATAACAGTACACTGTTACAGGCTCCAACTGAAAATCAGCACTGCCTTTGCATAATTATGCTGAATTGGATGGCTTATTTAATATTTTCCTAAAAACATTAACTGTAAATGAAAATACAACTGCGTTGCATACATACCGCGCCAGGCACCCCACGTCCACATGTTGAAATGATATAATACGATACCAACGATCTTTTTGACATATCGTCAACTATAAATGTACGTAATCAAACTATAAGTATATGGTCGTCTTACGATACGGGTGATCTTATATTCACGGAGGTATTATAATGAAAATAATTTACCATACCTATGCAACTCCTTTTATCTTCTGAGAGCCTGTAACCTGACGGACAGGTACAGCGATAGCTTCCAGGTTCATTCCGGCACCTCCCGATGCAAAGGTTCTTCGATTTGAATTCTGTACACTCATCCACGTCGGAACATGTACTATAAAAGAAAAGAATGTTTCATATTTTAATTATAGAAATAATATAAAACTTCGTAATTAATATTAAGTTGGATTTTTTATACAATAAGAATGACAAATATTACCATCGTCTGTCACCCTTATTCTATAAAAAAATCCAACTTAATATTTATATAGGCTGATAAATAATAAAAGAAAAAGGAGATGAGCAGCAGCATTTTGCTGATAATACCTCAACAATAACTATAAATACGGTTGCTAACACGCCTGACAACCTTGCCAACAATGGTAACCTCCTCCCCCTCCCTATGTGATAGTTTATGGTGGAGACTATGTTGAACAGTAGATCTTTGATAAGCTCTCATGGTATTAATGATGTAATAACTGAATGATTGATTTTTTTTTGTTATTAAAAGCCAGGGTCTGACTACAATCTCACTCGGTGGTGAGTGTAATAATCAAGAGCTATAATATTTTCTAAAATTTCATATAATTGAAATTGGGTAAAATATTTTCTTTAACACACACTCACACGGCCTAACGGGCGATTAAAATGACCACGCGATGCGATACGATGCGCAATGCGAGCGTCCGATGTGACTAAATGTGAAATAAAAATATCAAGGAACATTTTGTTCTTAAACTAGGCCTAATTCGTAACGTTGATTATGATTGAGGACCGAGTGTCACAGAAACTATGGGTTACACTCAGCGCAGTTTAAAAAAAAACATTGAAAAATGTAAGGTTTAAAATTTAAAAAAACAAGGCAATACAAACCTATTATCAGGGTTGAGACGATAGCCTCTGTGACAGGAACAGCGATAGCCGCCCCACACGTTATTACATCGCTGCTCGCATAGGGTACCAGCACGGTTCTCTGTGCACTCGTCTACATCCACACAAACCTAACAACCAAATTAATATTAGTTTAAAAATTAACATAACGAGCATTAATCCGTGTAATTCTAGTGGTAATAATAGGTCATAGTAAAAAATTCTTGTATTATCATTGGTACATAAGCCTGCAAAATTTCAGATTTTTCAGACGTGCGGAATTGGGTGAGAACTTAATTCATGACATCCATTCATAGTTCACACATAATACCCATACGGTTAAAGAATGGGATTGAAAATGGCGGCGCCTCTATTATTCACCTCTCGCTCGCCCACTGCCGCTATCTATACTCATACCCGCCGGTAACGACTGCATAAAAAGTACGTTATTGGGCAAAAACACGTTGTGAGTTTTCTTCATAATTTAATGATATTTAAATTTATTATTGCCATTGAGAAATAATCATTTTTAAAATGTTCGTTTGTCTGTTTGTCCGAGCTAATCTTCGAAATGGCTGAATCGATTGCATTAAATATTCACGAACAAATAGAATGTAATACCAGGAGCGATCTAGACTACATTTTATCCGAAAAGTAAGGAGTTTTTATTAAAATAGATATATTGATAAGATAAAATAAATGGACTCTAATGATTATTTTTAGTCTCAATAACGCCACATTATTAGAAACCACCCAGGCAAAGACAGAGCGAGTCGCTGGTTATAAATTTAAGTTTTAACTAGCTGTTCCAGTAGACGTTGTTCTGCCTTTTCTGGTTGTTTCTGGTTGCTGTTTCTGTTTCTGGTTTAATTTCCACACACACTTTTATATAGATTTATTATACTTATAAATAAAATATAAAACTAAATCCTCTTTGTAACAACTAGAACTGACATAAACTTTAGAATAGGAGTGACATAACCGAAATATGACATATAGAAAAACATAACCCTTTTGTACTCTTCCGTAAGTGGATAAAAAGTTTCCTATACGTTATATACGGTCATTTACTGCTAACATGCAAAATTTCATAAATCCATTCTATTTTTTCGTGAATTGCCAACACAAAATTTTACTACAGATTTATTATATGTATAGATAAGAATAATGAGAAAATTTCCAAATAACCGAATAATATGACTTTATAACGATATCTCGTTATTAGCAGGTTTTCGCTATTGGTACTGTACATGTTAATGGTACGGGCTCTATGAGTCGCCATATCTAATCCTATTATATATCCGTACGGGCTATAGGTACATGCTCGTACTGACTCTTAAATACAAAACAAGATACTAAAGGCATGTTAATAAAAATAGAGAGCACGACTGCAGTGATGAACATATAGGTATATTTAAATAATTTGGAATGTTCTTATTAATACAATTCATGCCATAGACGATATTTAAATTCAAATTTATTTTTATTTGTGTATACAGATATACAGATAAAATAGATATTTGAAAAAAAAATTACGTTCGCTGCATTCAATCATTAGGTATACCTACAAATATTATACATACAATTACTACTACGCTACTACGATTCAATTATTTCATAATAGTGTTTATATTAAAATGATATGAGAAAACGTTACATATGTAAATTGTATTGTCATTTAATGTGCAATGATGTAACTAAATTATATATTAATTTCATAGGATATTTACAATATTTAGTTAGTAGTTAGTACTAGTGAAAAGGAACCCAGACGGACGTTAAACTAAGAAACAGAAGGGAGGAATCGAGGCTTCTCTCGATCCGGCCTCCTATAACGCCTACGTTGGGTTCGGGAACAACGTATGTGATCTCCGCAACGGAGTAACACACAAGGGCGATAACCTCTTCCTTTTCAGCGAGTAGGTTCAGACGGGGATTACGGGTCTTCCGAAGTCGTCCCGGTCCCAACGCCTTAATTCTTCGATGTGGACTGTATAATTTTGAGGGATGAATTTCTTGGGAATAAAACAGCAATTATCTTCAAACCGTTCCGTGAGAGAGTAATTACTTTTCCCTATCACTTCCCTACACTTTTTCTTTCTTCTTCTTATTGACTGCTGGTCTTGCACTTTTCCCGAAGTTTCTCCGAACTTCCCTTTTAACAATATTGGGTGAATAAATGCACCTATACAATTTTCAAACTGTAGGAAACTATTTCTAATCAGATTCTTATCAGTTATCATGTTTCTTATCAGATAACAATATAAGTGAATGTTCTCATAAATCAATCATGGCAAATAGGCATTTATTTTCATACAAAACATTTATAAGATCATCAAACTTATATAAGACAATACTTATGCAATTAATTTCCGTTAATTCTATTTATGCACAGAGTGATCATCTCGACCGGGGAACAAATCCGATCTCTAACTTCACTTTAATATTCCTTTGAATTTACATCATTGGAAAGATGATTTCAACCGGGGAAACAATCCGGTAACATAATTTATATCTTAAATTCCTTATGAATTTATTAAGCGATATTACTTAGGAAAACAAATAAACTAGTCCGGCCTGGGAGTCGAACCCAAGACCTTCATATCATTAATTCGACATTCTTTAAGATTTAACTAAGCATTTTCTTATCAGAACCTTGCTATTGGACAATATGCCTTTGAGAAGTTATTCGTCATCGGTTGACTTAATAAACTGAAATATTCTAATAGGCGCGTCGCCAACAATCTCCCCCTCCGTGCGTAAGCACCATTATTTGGGAGGCGTCGCGGGTACCAGGACTATTATTCTGGATGTAGGTCTCCTCAAGATACCTGTGCTAGTAATGACGTCAACCACTCTGGTGTGACCGTCTGGTCCCGGTAGCGTTCTACTAATTTTGCCTTTCGGCCACGTATTTCGTGGCAACGAATGATCTATTATCAAAACAATATCACCTTCTTTAGGTTCCATGAACTTTCCGTTATTACCTGTTCGGGGTATTAAAGTAGGCATGTATTTTTTCAGTCATCTTGTCCAAAAATGGTCGGCTAACCTCTGTGCAGCTTTCCAATTGAGTTGACCCGTCAGATGTTGCTCTAAAAATAATCCAGGTGGTCGATCACCACATGAGCGTCCCAGAAGAAAATGATTGGGTGTCAAACCCTCTTCAGGACTATCCATACTGAATGTTACCAGAGGCCTGGAATTTACCGTATGCTCTGCTTCTAAAAGCAGCGTATGCAGAACCTCCTCCCGTGGGCTCCTTTCTTTGAGCGTAGCGGTCAACGCAATTTTAACCGATCTTACTAACCTTTCCCAGGCGCCACCCATGTGCGGTGCTCCCGGAGGTATAAATTTCCATTTAATATATTTCTTAAATGACTCATTTTTCATGCCGTCATAGCATTCTTCGTATGCTTTCAATAATTCTTTATTCGCAGCTTTGAAATTCGTCCCGTTATCACTGTATATAACGGCTGGTTTTCCTCTTATGGCGATAAATCGCCTCAATGCCATTATCATTGACGCTGGTGTCAATGAGGCTGCTAATTCCAGATGTACTGCTCTGGTGGTCAGACACGTGAATAAAACACCCCAACGTTTTTCGTGTCGCCTTCCTATAGTCACACTCATAGGTCCGAAATAATCCACAGCTGAGCACGTAAAAGGTGGTTCATGATGAGTTATTCTCTCCAGAGGAATATTTCCTTGTGGCACGTTCTGCGGTTTTGACCTGTATGTCCTGCACCACTGACAGTGATGTGACACACTTCGTACTACATTACGCAAGTTCAAGATATGAAATTTCTGGTTCACCTCATTCATCACCGTCTGGTGATTGGCATGTCCAAAATGATGATGAACTTCTCTAATCATCATTTTAACCATTTCGTGTTTACCGTCCAATATGACAGGTTTCTACTTTCCTCGGTCAAATTAGACTTAAAAGGTAAACGTCCATTTAAACGGAGTAAGTTATCTTCTCCTATTTCCATAGATAATTTACTTAAGCGTGAACTTCTTTCAACGCTTTTGCCTGCTTTCAAGCATTTTATTTCCGAATGAAAACACTCGTCTTGAACGAACTTCCAAATTAATAATTCCGCTTTTTTTCAAGAGCGCTATGTCCAACGCACCATCGGGTCCTTTAACCGACTTTGCTAAAACTTTGTTGGAACACATAACCGACTTTTCGGCTGCGCTGTCGGGTCCTTTAACCGACTTTCTTAAACTCTTGAATTTTTCTACCGCTTGTAAGGTGCGTGTAGTTGCCCCAAGGAATTTCTTAAAGCTGCTAAATCGTCCGTAGTCGGGTAGACTTAACGGTTCTTGCTTTCTCAGCGCATTTACGCCTTTTGGCGATTTTTCTTCACCTGTTTCTAAGCTTTTTATGGTATCCACGATGAGATTTTTAATTTGCTTCTCATATTCTTTTTTTCAACTCGCTATTTTTATCGAGCTTCTTTTCGATATTAAACAGGCGACTTTTAACCTGCGCTCTATTCGACGGCATGCACTCATTGTCTGTGCGCCATAACAAAGCAGTCTCGTACCTATTATTAGGTATACGACGTACCGTTTTGCTCAAAATATTTAAAGCTCGTTCTTCTGAGTCATTCGCGGGCTTTCGCGCAGACACTCCCAGAGATTCCAAACTAAAATAATCTTTGATTAACTTATCCATATCTTCCTCCTTCTTGGTGGAAATGTGGTTAACAATCTTGATTGGTTTAATACCACCCGATATGTGACCATGTAAAACCCATCCAAGTTTGGTGAGCGATGCTACAGGTAGGTTCTTACCTCCTGAAATTAATTCACGAGTAACTATGAGATACCAATTGTCCTGGCCAATTAATATGGTAGGTCTGGACTTCTCATACATCAACTCATCCTTAATCGGTGTCAAATGAGAACACCGTTGCAATAATTCTCGGCTTACTGACTGAGGAGAAAGGTTAAGTGACTTAATTGTTTGTACACTTATCTCTTCTAAGTCATTCGAGTAAATGCCTTTTATCTTAACGTTTAAGCGATACGAACTGTCGTCGTTAATTCGCTTACCTCCCACGGCTTCAATACGTAATTCCTCTTTACGTCCGCGAGGCGCTAACTTCTGAGCCATCCACTC